GGGCCAGAAAATAGGCCTTGGCTTGTTCTGTTTTGAAATGTAGTTCTCACATCAGCATCATGCCAAACATACTGTATCATTTGAGGAATGCATTTATTTTGAGCAGGACTGATACTTGAGAAAGTGAGTGACACTGGTGAAAACAGACAGATGTTTACTGATTCAGTCTTCACATGCAAAACTCTTGGTGTGTGTTCAAAGTCATCTTCTGCAGATGTATCTCATCTTAACATCAGGAAACAGCAGCCTAGTGTATTTTCCCATTTGATGTGACTTGTTAATCTAGATCCTCTATATATTCCAGGGACACAGTTCCTAAATTTAAAGCTGCAAACAGACTTGTTCTCTCAGCATCCTTGTAAGAAATGTTTAATTTTACATTGCCAGTTTTCAAATATTTCAATACACTCTGGCTAGGTAAAACAGTAAGGAATTGCTGTAACACAGTGATGAATTAATGACTTGCTTGATAGTGCAAGCTCTTATTTTCCTCTCTGTCAGCTCTTGGGCCAGACATTTTGGAAGAGTTTAATCAAAATCCTCATCAAAAGCCAAATGAGTGGATTTTAAAGAAAGTTTAATTACAGTGGTCAAACCACCCAGCATGATTTGCTTGATTTAATTAACATAATGAGAAGCTCATTTAATGAGAAATGCATTAATTCATTCAAACAAGTGGTTTTATCAGTGGTATTAAGCATCAGCCCAGATTATGTACAGCAGAAACTATTATAGCAAAAATTGAGCAAGGTCAAAGCAGTAGTCATACCATAATTACAAGCTCTCAACTGTAATCTACCAGTTGAATTTGGGTAGTATTTACCCTGCCCAAAAAAGCAGGATCCCTATTTTAAAAAGCCCCCAAACCATACAGTTTTGCTCCAATTCCACAGCTGAGATCTCCATCTCTTTCTTTCAGATGTTCAGAAGATTTGGGAACTGGGACTGAATCTTTTGACTTTCAGATGGCTACACATGCAGATATTAGTAACAAATGACAAAGAGCTCAAATGAACCCTGCTACCACTCCACACCCTTAAAGGAAATGGATGCTGTCCATTTGCCCTTTTTTAAAATCTCTCTCCTGATGCTGTGATGTCTTAGGGATGCTCCTATCCCTAACCTGGCATAGAGTGACTCTGGGGAAAAAATAGTATTTCAACTTTATTTCAACTTCCTTGTTTCAGGACCCCTTCCTGTGGGCTTTGCACAGCACCCTTCACCTGGATCCCACTGGCACCCCCTCTCTGGTGCTCCATCTCCCAGCAGCTGCCAGTGCTCTCCTCTCTCCTATGCTGCCCTGACCATGGTTACCTCTTCGACTTCTGCTGTGCTCCCTCACCTTTACTCAGGCCACTTGTTATTCCTGCAGTGTCTATGCTGCCCCTGTGGGAGCTGCCTTTCCTGCTGCTTCCTACTGTGCCCGTACAGCACTGAAACTTCTTTTGATTTTCAAGTGCTCTACTTCTCAGCCTGCCTGACTGCCAGAGTACTTTCCAAGTACTGTTTCACTGTGGACTTAAGCACTGTCTCTGGCACAGTTTTACATCAGCTACCATCAGCAGCTGGTAAAGGAGACCACGCTCAAAACTGTTCTCTAAGCTGACAGGAGGCTGGTCAAGGAGCTGAGACGTGGAGAACAAGCCCAGTTGCTGATGGCATCCTCCAGGATTAGATGCATACCAACAAGTGAAGACTGGCATGGAGACAAAATCTTACCTTCTGATTAAGTCAGTAAGATACTATTATTAGGGTACCTAAATGAATGTAAGTACCAAGGTTCACCTGCAGCTTTGGAAATTTGGATGAAGATCTTCAAGAGATAAGCTGAAGCAGAGAACTAAAGATGTCAAAAAATAGACCTAAGGATTTATTTGCTATATTAATAGAAAATGCACAAGAAAATAATTCATGCTGATCTGAAAACCATAATCCTTAGAATTATTTCTGCCAGTTGCCTTTAAACCACAAGGAAATGAGTAAAAGTTGGAATTGTAGTCCCTTGATTTTAGAGAAATCTTGGGATTTGCCCATATGTGGCTGCTGCACACCAACAGGAACCTGTGATATTGGCATATAAACGTCTGCACAGAAGAAAGCACTAGCAGTGATGACTGCACCATACACTCAGCAAGGCTATTCCTGAGGTGAAGTCCATTCCTTCTTGGAACAAGCAACACAAACAGCATACACGGACTCACTGCAGAAGCTGCCCCTCAGTGTCACATTTAGTATCCCTGAGTGGAATCGACATGGGAAATCATAAAATATAAATTTTTAGAAGATTCTATCTTAAAACACTTTCCCCACTATCTCCCAGCCCAGCCTTCACGCAGACAATCAACATTACTAATGTTATAATCTGAAGAAAATTCCCCAAGGACAAATATATCTCACCATACTAGAGTGATAAACGCAAAAATTGCTATTTATCTCCACAGCCCTCAAAAGAACCATGAAAAACAATGGATCCTCGTCATGTCTATCCCTGAATGCAAACTACTTCTTATGTACTATGTGCCCTCTGTACCACAGTGAACTCACACTGACAATTCCTGCATGAAAGAAAACCATGGTTAATAACAAGAAAATGTCTCCTAAACCAGTTATTCTCTGATCATTTAGCCTTTTTCCTCAATGATATCCTACAAAAGACACTGGAAAGACTAAGCCAAGATTAAAGTTAACAATTTCACGGGACACCAAAAATTGTTGATTATAACAACAGCACTAATTTTATGGCACATTACAATTTACATCACATATGACTTGCTAATCCCAGTTTCTCAGGAGATAATTACCTGTGCATTTCTTCCATCCTGTGTTCAATAGAGCTGAAGACCTTATTACCTCTCCTCTTACTAACTTCCCCTCTGTTCCTTTCATCTCAAAATACCTGACTGATTAATATAATGAAATTGAACTCAGAAAAAATTGCTTCTTATCTTTACTTATCTGGCAGCTTGCTAGCTATGTCCCTCCTTCTGTTTTTTGCTCCTCAGTCTTGTCTGATTTTTTTCCTATTACGTGTACTGATAACAGATACTGCTTTTCTCCACTGATATTCCCTCTGAGTGTTGTGACACTTTCCTATTTACCAAAAAACCTGCCCAAACACCTTCACTTTGAAAATATAAAGCCCTGTTACAGATACGGTTCCAGTTCTGACTCACAGATGCCTTTCTGAATAGTTATATGGCTTTCATTCTGGCATTATCCAAGCTCAAAATTGCTTCAAAGAAATATTTGGGCTTAGCAAAGAGTAAGAACACAACTTATCTGGCCAAACATCAGTCATTATTTCTGAAAGGAAAGGAAACATTGCTAATTTAGATCTTTCTAAAATGAAAGTGAACTGTAACATGGACAAGATTCAGGAATATGTTGTTCAGCCAGGGCAGTTATGTATTTCCCAACAGAGTCAGAAATTGCAATTTTTACTGTGACTTCTCTCTGATACTTCCCAGATAGTGAACTGGTCTTTGGCAACACCCATTGCAATGATGTTGTATATTATTTCCTTCTCCCCTTCATGCATGGACTTCAAAAACCTCTTAAATTTACTTCTCTGCATCCCAATTCCATAACTTTAAACTGTAATAGCTTGGGAAAGATTAACCAATATCTTAGGACGGTGCTTGATATAATTTTGCCTACAGACTTTCAGTGTGCAGTACCACGTGAATTAAAATATATGGACCTATCACTTAATGCATTTTAGGAAGTAATAAATAAGCCAGTACACAATGCTCTGAGGCAGCGTGCAGCTCTACCACCTCCTGCCAAATATTATTCCTTTCCTTGGACTTGCAGAAGTAGCACGTGTTGTTCTGTTTCCACCACATGCAGTCCTTGATGCACACCTGAGAGCTGTTCCTTGTAAGCAATGTCACATCCAGGGCAGAATTTCTACCCTTCTTCTTTCAGCAAAACACATTCAAAGGAAATTCAAGACAGGATTGAGGAAAGAATTTTAAAACTTGTATTCCTCATTTTGTGCAACTGGGGGTTATCTGTGGCCCTGAGGACACATGAGATCTGCCACCTCAGTATTACCATGTACAAAGAAACTGTTTACTCCTTATGTGTCCGTCACCATGGAAAAGCTCAGGGAACATATGGAAAGGATTTTTTTAGGTTCAAAGGAAAAGCAGGCCCCCACATCTCTTCCTCCTACTCAGATACAAACCAGGATCTTGCTTTGCTAGCCAGTACAGAGATAATCTTCAGTATTGATATATGAGAGCCGCTGACACAATGTAAACATTTGGCAAAAGCTAAGTATTTGTCAAGAACCTAAAAGGCAAGGTACTTAAAGCAGTTCTCCTCGCTGGCTTTCCCTAGCAAGGTTGCTAGGGAACACGTACCTAGCTATTGGTCCCACTGCTGGCTCCTAAGAGATTGACCCTACAGTACACTGTACCTACATCCCAGCGAGCAGTACCCAATTACCTTCTCTTTCGGCTGTGCCACTGCAATGAATGTTTCCTGAAGAAATTGAGATGTTTCTGGAAAAGCAAACCAGCTCCTACCAGTCACAAGCCAATGTTTTATTGTGGCTGGTGCCACCATCAGCCTCTTTGCCGTAGGGAGGCAGATGGATTCTGACTTGGCCATCCGGTTCTGATGGCCAAGAGCCCGCTACAACATCCCCTGCACCACTGTGTATGTGCAGATGTCGGTGCCGATCACTGGGAGAAACAGACAAATTCAGCCCGTTCAACCTCGTTTCCCATGCGCGAGCACGAGGATGGTTGTGGGGGGAAAGATGAAGTGTGGAAATAGTGTGAGATGAGGATGTCCAAGCCGTCTGGCGATGGAAACCAGTTTTCGCAGGGTGCCTCCTCAAGAGCCCTGTGGGAGGGCGATGCGGCAGGAGCACGAGGCACAGCACAGGCACAGCACAGGCACAGCACAGGCACAGCATAGGCACAGCATAGGCACAGCACAGGCACAGCACAGGCACAGCACAGGCACAGCAGAGGCGCGGCGGCCCTTACCTTCTCGTTCTTTCTCTCCTCGGGTTTGGCGGCAGGCCCGGGCGCGGCGGGGCCGCCCAGGGGCCCGGCGCCCACGTCCCCGTTGAGGTGCGCGGCGCTGACGTTGGGCGGGGTGATGGCGGCGGCGGCGGAGGTGAGCGGGATGAGGGGCCGGGCCCCCGGCGTGGGCGGCTGGTGGCCGTGCTGCGGGGACACGGCGGGGTGAGGCCGGATGGCCGCGGCGGGCAGGCGGGAGGGCGAGCTGGGCGTCCGCAGAGGCGAGACCGTGGCCGTGGGTCGCTCTGGGGCCGGCACTGCTGGGTGCGCTGCGGGAGGAGCACAGAGCACAGGGTTAAATTCCCCTCGCACTGCCTCGATGGGCCCTTCAGTGCCCATGGCTCACTGGGTCAGAGCACGGTGTCAAGGACACCGCGAGTTCCGTCTCTTTAAGGACCATCCACTTGAGGAGTTGGCTTCGATGATCCCTGTGAGTCCCTTCCAACTCAGAATGTTCTGTGATTCTGTCTGTGAAGGTGCCAAGGGCCCGATGGGGACATAAGCTCTGAGCCTTTGCCCAGGATATCTCACCCCACAAGTGTTTTTGGCTAATTCTCCTCCTGGCTGCAAAGCCGTGTCCGAAGTCACCAAAATTGGCTTGTTCTCCCCAGTGATGCTACTGGGGAATGGCATTCACTATCCCTGCCTATGTCTGGAAATAAATACCTAACCTGTTGCCTTTTAAAATACATTATCTGGTTCCAGCTGAGCTGTTTTCTGCATTCCCAGGCCCCCGTACTAATGTGATCGGTTCTGGAGCAGTGCAACACGGCACCGAAGGGGTTAGCCCAGATGATCCACGCTGACCCTGCAGACAGCAATTACAAAAGGAGGTCTCTTGTTTCAGCCCTAACAAAATGATCAACATCACATCACTGTGCTCCACAGGATAAATTAAGCAGAAATCCACTGGAGGATTTCTGAGCTCAGCCTCCTCTCTGCCAGCAAAGTCCCTGAGGGACTGTGCAGTGCCTTTTAGTCTGGCTGCTCCTGCAAAGCAAACCCTGCTTGCAAGCAGTGGGAACCGTGAATTAGAGCTCCCCCATTTAACGGTGACTGTGACACACTGATGAGGTCAGCTCCCCAGGGATTCCAGAGCCTGTTGCATGATTCAGGATGCAAAACATGTGACAAAGCTCTGGGTCCATTTCCACAATAAAGTTGTCTGTGATTTCCAGCTTTGGTTGATTGCTTAGGTGTTACCTAAATACAGCTCCACTTCAAATATGTACAGCTTAGAAGCCGAGTCCATACTCAGACATTCCCTCACATAAATGATTCAGTAATAGGACTGTCTGGAAAATGCCCATTTCTTAAATGATTTTAAGGTTTCATAATTTCGTTTAGTTCTATCTCAGTGCAAAATTTGAACCTCTGAACATTTTTCTGAGCAAAACATGCTCACTCACCCCACAGTAGCCTCTATTTTGGTCAGGTTATTCACCTGGGATGTGAAAACATACAAAGTGATCATTGCACTGTTCTCTAATATGGAGAAGAGCTCTGGAAAGCCATCAATTCCCTTAGCAACATGAGCCAGTACAGCTCATGGTTGGTCTGGTTGAACTACACCCATTCGTGAGAAAAAACTGAGTCCAGCAAATCAGGTTTGCTTTGATCAATATACATTTTACTGGAAAATTTCTGACCTACTTTGATCTGTCATTTTCTGACAAATTCATCTGAAGGACGAACTTTTATGCAGCTGGACTTCACTCAATCTATAACTAAACAACAGTGCTAGAACAAAAACCACTAGTTTCTATTCCTATGGTTATCAGTGGCACCCATTAGCAGGTATTAGATTGACAGAGTGCCATTAATCATACTCACTACACCAGCTGAGCACTCCTGCCAGGAGGGAATTTCATCTCCCAGCCTTCTGCTCTATTATCTGATGTGATACTGAACATGATGGGCCAGTCATCATCAGATTAGCACTTCCAAAGTTTATGATTCTCGCTCACAGTAGCTCCTTAACTCTATATCATCTTTTTTCACTAACATTTATAGTAAATCAGCTATGCTGTCTTTAGTCAGTCTGTGACTTGATACCATTTTACCATGTACCACGAGGAAGGCCTTAAAAGTTGTTATTCCAGACACCTTCAAGACTATTTTCACAATTAGTTATAGTACTCCTTCCCCTCCCAGGACTACTAAGAACATGCACTGAAAGTCCAATTCACTTCCAGAAAGCAAGGTATCCACTACTTATATGCAAGTGATTCCCTCCTGATTTTCCCATTTGGAACCTGATGAGCAACGTTGCTATGAGAAATATAATTTTTTTGGGATGGCTAAGCTTGTAGCATCTAGGTTTTGAACTGCTGTTTTAGGGAGCAATGGCTTTCCTAAGTTTAGAGAGAAAGCATACAAATAGAATTTCTCTGCATGTACCTGGATGCAGAACACTGATTTGATAATCATATTAGGTACATCACCTCTTTCATGTAGGACTTGGTGTTTCCAGACACAAAGGAAACATAAAACATGAGAAACAGTAATAAAAATGGCCTGACAAAAATGAACTCTGAGCACATTTTATTCTGTAGATTCATCTGCTTACTGTTACAATGTATGCCTTTGCTCTGGGATCTCGATCTGGACTGTGCTACATCAAACATGTTATTAATTAGCAATGATCACTGAAGGCTATTTTTGTTCTACACCACTCATATTTCGTTTTGGGTGTATTTCTACATTAGTGGCCTTGTAGAAAATTGATTTGTTATTCATGTATATTGCAAGCCAATAGAAACGTGATTTGAATACTGTGCCAGCTTGCCTCTCTTGGAAAGCTTTTCCAAAAGTCAGTGCATTGACCTGTCCTGCAGGGGCTCTGGTCCATAGGATGCTGGTGAGGACAGGCATTATGGAGGCAACTATTGATAATAATGAAATCTTCCTTTATTTATCCTGACAAAGGTTTACTTAATTAAAGCAACAGTTTCATGAACCTTCTGGAAAGATTGGAAAATTCTCTGCTTAGGAGGTTTTGGAACAACTCTGTGGTCCCTGGATCACCCTGCCTGCCAACACTTTGGCACTTTAGAGATGTCAGAGTGACCTAGAGGAGCAATCTTAAATCAGGGAAGCTGCTGGAGGTGTGGAAAGAAGGTGTGGGACATGCCAGGCTTGTGGGGCAGAGTAATCTGTCACCTTGGTTTCAGGGGAGACACCTGCCTGTTGACATGGGCACCAGGAGCACCTGAACACTTCCTGAGCACTTCACCCAAAAGGGGAGATTTTTGTCTTTGCACTCTGGGAGTAGGAGACCTTTTGGAAGAGTGTGAGTTTAGAGGAAAGCAGCACTTTCTGAAGTAGACAAAAGGAGGATAAATTAATTATTCCCCAGTGTGACATGGATACCGTGTAAAGCCCTGCACCATTTCTTGAACAGAGGAGTCTCCACTCTTCGAGACTGAGATTCTCAAGTGTTTGATTATGGTTTTTTCCCTTTGGTCTGGACTGTGTAGGAGGTGAGATTAGATGGTCATAATGGTGCCTTCTGGCTTCAAAAGGTATGAATTCATGACTTACTCTGCAGGTTATTTCTCATTTGTGTTTGCTCTGTTTTGTATCTAAGACCTCAGTTTTCAGCAGTCACAGTCGTTACTGATCTGCCTTTGTAAATACAATGGCTCACATCCCTATAAAATATCAGAAACAAAATGTTTTAAATTTAGCTCTATAAAGTTTCACCCCATGATTTACTTTTACTTTATTCAACATCAGAAGCTGTTTAACATCAGGGAAAGGGGAATAAATTGTATTCTAGAAAATTATGCTGTACATCAGAAAGGGAACCTAGAAAGAACAGAGGCCCCCTGGTGCAAGAAGCTCTTATTCTCACTTCAAAAAGGTGGTAGCATTTTTCAGATCCTTTGCTTTACCACCAACACGGGGTCCCGTTCTGCCTAATAAATGTCTTTCATCCCTGAAGCCCAATGAAATGCTTCTTAATTTCAAGGCATGTATTACTTGCTCTGGAGTAAGGACAGTACTTTTTTTTTATCATCAAGACAACCGGACTCAGAACTGTTAATCTCCTCAGTATACAAAGTGCTTGCTTTCACTCAGATAAATTGTATAAATATTTGTAAACACTACAATCTATTTCAGCTGTAGCAACAGAACAATCTGATAAACACAATGTGGCTCCCAGAGATCAATAGAAACCCATAAATATTGCTAGCAAAGAAAACATACTCTATCACCAATGGACAAACTCCACATTGGCTGGGCTAAAACAAGAAAGAGCTGTGGGGACGGGCACATTCTCGAGAGGTACCAGATCAACCCTGCCATTGCAGGAGGCACAGGGTGAGCACTTACCCATCTGCATGGCGCTGCGGGGCTGGCTGGCTGGCTGCTGCGCCGAGTACCTCAGGCAGTTATTCAGCTGTGGAGAGGCTGCCTGCAGCTGGGGATGCGTCTGGGGAGCAGTGATGGGAACAACTGGTCTGACAGCTGTGGTGGCATTGCTGTGACCAGCCACAATGGGGTGGATGGCTCCTGGGGCTACTTTTGTTGTTGGACCTCCTCCAGCTCCGCTGTTCCTGGGCTGCCCAGCTCCCACTGGCACCCTGCATGGAGACAAGTCCACAGTGTAAGCGTGCTGCAGAGACCCCAATACCCAACCACAGTGCTGACAAGTACCCCCACTTACTTAGGGGGTTTAACATGATACCCCATCAGTTGTTAAAGTAAACTGAGGTATTCATATATACTTATCTTTACAGGACGCATTTATAAGCATGCTGGGGGATATTTTCACCCTTTTATTCTAATGGAAGAAGTGCAGGGTAAAAATAGAAAAGATAATTTCTCTCATCATGTCTTTTATTACCCTACATTTCTGTCTGAATAGTTTCTAGTAAAATCACAAATCTTAATTCAGAGGAAATGGGTATCTCCCAGATGTCATTTTGTGTGCCAGAGGCTATTTCACACGGCGTGATAATTAAAACAGACTCAGAGATCTTTTCTTTGGACCAAACCTGCATACAGCCCTACAGGGAGAAACAAAGATGGATAACACCAAATCTGTGTGTGGCTATGGAACGGGACTGAGAAGCTGCCGACTTGACTGGGCTTGGCTTAGCTGAACACTCACCCTATTGATGTAACCAGCCCTAGCTTAGACTTGCTAAGGGAATGCAACAAGGACAGGAATGCAGCTGACCTGAATGAAAAAGAAGTCCAAACAGACGTTGACACCTCTCTCACTCCTCACTTTTAACTGCATGCGTAATTTGTATTTCACCTGGGTGGCCAAGTAGACCTCAGAGGGAAGGGACAAGGCTTTTTCTCCTATGAATTGAGTTCAGACTATAGCATGTATTGATCCTCTTACCACTGAGCTAAAAACTCTGACTAGGACAGAAGGACACTTAGAAAGACATCAGTGGACAAACTCAGCTGCTGCTGATCAGCTCTTTCTCTGTGTTTCTTAACTCAAGTTCCTGAATTATTTTTTTCCCCTGCTGTAAATGCCATGAAACAGATGGGTCATTTTGTGCTGTTTTCTTGTCCTGGGCTGCTTCTTGCACCAAGGTCCTGTTCCAGGAAAGGACAGCACAGGGATATGAGGCAGAACAAAGTAAGGTGGAGGAAAAGGAATGAGACAGTGCAAGGGTTTAGCAGGAGAGGAGAGAATAACAGAAAAAGTGTTAAGAGTAGACTATGAGGTATGGAACTGGGGGAAACTCTGGGTCCCCAAGATTGCATAGGAAGACAGAGAGGAGAAGAATGTAAAGGAATATGTTGAACAGTCTGGTCTGGTTCAGAGGACATGGGTGACAGAAGAAATAACCCTAAGTAAAGAGTGGAAAGCCAAAAGAGTGGAATTCTGATGGAAAAAGACCAAAGCACAGGCTGAAGAATATGGTCCAAAAGGGCAGAGGAAAGCTATGCCTTCTGCCCAATCCTCCCTCCCCCTAAAATCACAAGAGGAAAGACAACACTGTGGTGTCACTGACTTGACTCATCTCATGGTGCAAGGTTTGCCTGGATTACATTTTGCTAAATATATCTGATTTTCTAGTTTCTTCAATTTTTTTATAAGTCTCCAGGTTGCGAAAATCTGGGAATCCCACCAGATGGAAATCTTGAGTGTCTGTCATCTGCTGTGAAGAGCTGGCAGGGTGGCAGGAAGGTTCAGCTGGAGCTGGCTTGGCCATCTGCACTAGATTGAGTTTGCCAGAAAAGCACATCTAACAGTCCACTGAGAGCTGTGTTCAGGCAAACATGCACACCAATAAGTACAGAAACTATCTGTGACTCCAGCAGAGATGGATGAATGTTGAATGTGGCAAATTTTCTCTGCTGCCCTGTGTCTGTCTGTCCATCTAAAGAGTTTTGTTCTTTTTCCGTAATGCTCCACTCACACGTGTTTTGGCAGCATATAAATCTAGTCAGTGTTATTAAATTCACAACTTCTTTTCCTTGGATTTTGTAGGGAGTGGCAGAAAAACATGTATGAATCTAATCCTCTGCTTTTCTGTCAAAGGGGAACAAAGTATGTTGAAAGTAGGGCAAATAGGAAATTTTGTTGCTATCAGATTTTTATTGCTGGTCTCACTGAGGGTGATTTATATAGGAACTTAATTAGCCCACGGGATCATAAATATAATCATAATGCTGCTTTCAGATTTTGTGGAAAGCACTTTTGCCCTTTAGCACTTTTCTGTCTTGTTCTAGCTGTGACATGCTGCATTTAATAAAGTCTTGCTGATTCAGATAACCGACTCTTCAGCACAAACTTCCTTACTAATTAAGAGCTGAAGAGGCAAGGAGTGAAGGCAGCCAAGGGGCTCTATAAAATAAGGTAAATACATTTAGATTGATGAACAGGGAAGAGCCAGTGAATTAATATTTGGGGTTTCCTTATTGAAATGCAATATTAGGACTATCACAGGCTTAATTATTGCCTTCTGATAGGTTCTTAACTTTTTGTGTTACTCAGAACATGTGCTACAGACTTGACATAAACTTTAGATGCAACAAAGCTGGATCAATTTCTCAAGATCAACTGTGTCTGAGTTGTGAGGTGCCCTTCTCTGGAGAGGAGTCAAAGATGGTGGAGACAATGTGCATTGGGAGGAGAGACTGAGAGCACATGAGAAGGAATGAGTTCAGTTTGCAAATCCACAGTTGCTCTAAAGGAGATATGGGCATACACATGCCAGCATTCACCCGCAAGGAACACACAGGGCAAACAGTCTAGGACACAGAGATGGACTTTCTTCTCAGCTTCTCACCTTTGATTTGGTATTGTCCAATAATGAACTCTGACAAATGGCATTCCTCCCCCAAAAATGCCATTCTTTCCTTTACTCATCTGCTGCAACTGAGGCGGGTGTAGGTAAAATCAGACAATTTACTTAACTCTCCTACCACCTTGGAATTTTAACTGTTCAAACATTAGTCCAGATCCAAATCATCCCAGATCTTTGCTTTAAGAAGAACAAAATTGACATGAGGAGCTACTGAAAAGCAGAACACAAGCATTTCTTATTTTGTTACTTGTCCAGTAGTTTTACAAGAACAAAATCATTAGCCAACATATTCTTTAAAATAGTAAAACCTAGCCTAGCCTAAAAGTGCCGTCATCTAAGACAACTAGTGCAATCTCCTGAGGACATGGATAACTCAAATGCTACTACCAGCAAGTATTATTACTGAAGTCTGCAGCGCCACCAGAGAATTTCTGGAAGGGGAATATGATTTAAAAGCAGAGATACACGGTTTTCAGTGCCATCCAGAATCCCTTTGAGCCCCAGTACAGGCTAGTGGTCCTCACCTTGAAACAGGTGTCACGTAGTTGCCTGGGAAGACGCCGGACATCCCACTCCTCAGAGACGCGCCCTTGAACCAGCCGTCCTGGCACTTCTCTATGACGCGGTACATCTCCCCTTTGCGCAGCTCCAGCTCGTCGTTCTTCTGAGGCTTGTAGGCATACAGGGCTAGGTAGCTGTGGGGAGAGGTCACACAAGGAGAGAGCACACAGGTGACATCAACCACCACCTGTCCTGCTCCAACTCCAGCCTCACAGAGCAGAAAGAGACCAGAAGCACTATTAAGAAGTTGTGGTTAAAAAGGGACATGATTACAGGCTGCTTCACAAACAAGGAAGGGCAGAGACTGGATTCTAAGACAACAAGGGAATAACGAATCAGAATAAAAGGTAAAAGTAGTTTAGAAGTTTAGTTTTAGTGGTTTTAGTAGTTTAGAAGTTGATGAGACATGCTTCTCACTCAGAGCACAGCCAAAGCAAAACAGTGCCACAAAGCAGCACCGAAGTTAAGGACTTAGCAAAGGTTTCAGAAAAACACAATTACAGTGACAGCTGGAGTAACAAGGGCTCGAGTAAGAGGACTTTGCAAATCCTGACATCTGGAAGAAGTATACATTCATATGCTTCAGGGTGGGATCCACCTCTGTTGTGGAGTTTAAGAAGAAAATTTTCTTATGAGTAGGCTATTTCAAAAGCTTTCCTTGCAGCTTTCTCAATGCTATTTATGTTCAGAAGTTTAGAAACAACACACCAAACTGTTCTGATCTGGTATGGTAATTCTTTTACTATGTTAGTAAAACAAAAAGTGAGAAAGGGCCACATTCTGCAAGGAGTTTTTTACTTAAGTAAGTGAAGTGGTAAAATTTGTTTTGGATGTTTTGTATGCAAGTATTCTAATAAATCTTCAATATAGGATCCAATATTAAAGCTTTTTATTTAATTACAGCTTTTATTTATTCCCTTTGTTAAGAATCTTTCTATTTATCTCTCTTTTGTTCTTCTGTTACTACTTCAGGGATGTGTCTACTGTTGTGAAATGGCTACAGCTTAAAATCCCTACAGATTCTCTCTCTGTTTAGAGAGATTCTTGTTGAAAATTAAGAATGATTGCTTGCACTTTGGGAAATAATGGAAAGTTGGGATAGACTAGCAAGAGTGCACACACAGAACAACACTTTCTTTGTAAATACCAGATTTTTTTGTACTGTCGCTTTTCTACAGATGCAAAAAGGGATTTCTGATAATTCTTGATCAATGTTGTGCCTTCTTGAGGTTTTTATTTATTTGTGATTTATCGGCAGTGAAGGTAGATTAAGAGAAATGGGAAAACAAAGAAAGTGCATTTACACTACAAAGTGCAGCAGAATGCTCTTAGGCTCAGAGGTGGGTGAGAAGAGGTTTGCTTCCCGCCGTATAGTAGTGAACCAGAGAAAAAATAAAAACTTTAGCAGTTGTGATTGTAGATTTTCAGCCAATAAAAATGATACATGACTTTTTACTTCTGGTCTCCAGGAAATATAATTGAGGAATAAATAGTTATTTTTTCTTGATTCTACTTCTTTATTGTACCATAGATTTCCTTATTTTTGCTCTGAAGATAGTAAATAAACAGCACTAATGAGCAGAATATGAAATATTTGGTACCAGCTCTTTGGGGAATCTTGGACTGATGTGCCTGGCTCTTTTTACCACATGCATGGGGTACAAAGACTTAATCAGAAATTTTAATCAGTATTTCATTTGTCAACAGATGGGACAAGCCACCTATATCTAGCCTATGTAATCAGGTGGTCTTGAGCCAGTCTGTAGCTGTTCACCTGACGGAAAACATGAGGCTATATATGATCTGAAGAACATTAAAATGCATCATCCTGACAAGAAAGAAGGTTGCATGCTTCAGTGCTAATCCTTCAGCACTGTGCTCTGCAAGAACCTAAAGTGGCAGACTGCACTCACTTGAGGGAGCAGAAAGTGTGGCTTTGACTGTCCCTTTTGAAATTGCTGTGTACACAGGCTCAGATTCAGAAGCTATGGGTAAAGCAGGGGGTCAGGGATAGAGCATTTTAGATAGACTCACTTAGCCTTTTTCCCCAAGGGGCTACATGTAATAATGCAATTTACAGGTGGAGATTCTGGAAGAAGGTGCAAAGAAAATTACCCTAAGTGGATCATAGGCTGTTGAGCCTTGCAGCTATCTCCAGATCTCCTGTTAGTTTCTTTTTGTTCTCTCCTACTAGCTTCACTCAGAAAATTCCCCCAAATCAGCTAGCAGTAAGTCTGAATATCCAATATCACAATGAGCCTAAACATCCTCTGGATAGAGTATTGAAATCCTTGCAGAGACTAAAAGAAGGTGTACAACAGTCCAGCACAGGTACACCACACTGAAAGAGACCAATCTCTGTATGCCTAAAATGATGAAAGCTTGTGTGTGATAACCATATAGGGTGACCCTGGGACAACACAAGTGATCAGCACTTTCTTTGTGGACCAGCAATCCCACCTCCTGTGTGTGGGGGAGTAGTGAGGATGCCCATCCCTGGGGGTTTTCTCTTTAGTTGCAGAAGCACAGGGTTCTCCAAACCCAGTGACAGGCCTAGCCTGGGTCTGCAGCCCTCCCTGTGGGCAGGCATAAACTCCATTCCTGGCAGGGAGGTGGCTGTGGGAGAGCTGGGGGGATGCCTGCTCTCATCCATGGCTGAAAACAATTTGATTGCAGGCAGCTTCCCTCCCCAGAATTTGTTTCTGGGTTTTTCCTCTGGCAGGAAATCAGGTCTAGTGGCCCCATTTGCTGAGGATGATTTTGCCTTAAGCCAAAGTCTTCGGATTTGGAAACATTTCACTGTTCTCTAGATTTTAGGTGTGAAACTTCACCAGCTAACTCTGTTCAGCCTAGAATAAAAGTGTTAAAACAACAATCTGAAATCTTGCAAAATGTAGTATCAGATTCTTCTGGGCTATGTGAAACAGTGAGGCTAAGGGTTGGGAGTGGGACCTCGAAGAACCCAAAATGTTTATTAGAAGTTCCCTGAAAAAGGTCTAAGTGTGAAATGTTCTTGGCCTTGGGTAGCTGCCTAGAATGCAGAAGCCCCAGGGCTTTGTCTAGAGTTGCACCTCCCCACTACTGCTACAGCTTTCAAATAATGTATCCTCTTTGACTGGAACTTGGCTCACAAATGCAGAATGACAGACCGGATTACAAGGCTGCTTCACAAGGGAGATGACAGGAGAAGCATGGGAGGGAGAAGGGTAGGCTTGCTGAGGCATGGAGTCAGGGATATTGCCAGAGAGCTGGCAAATGTCCTGATCCAGCAACTAGGTACTTCAAATATTGCCAGTTACCACTTCCTAGTCAGGGCAAAGCTTGAAATAAACATGTGCCCCACTACGTGCCACACGATCTGTGCAGGGTGAACACAGGGTGATGATGAGATCTCTCCGTGGGACATTCAGTGATGTGGGGCATCCCTCAGGTATAAGGATCTCAAATAAGTAGCTAAGAAGAATTTTTTTTTCTTCTGATCCAACACCCTGTTGTTCTTAAAGAAGATCTCCTCTATTATTTTTAGGATTTTGTGAATTCAGACCTTGTTTTAGCTAAACCATAAAACTCAAAAATATGGATGTGTGCGTGTGTGTGTGTGTGTGTGTGTGTGTGTATAGTTGTCCTGCTTTTACAAGGTATATGTGTTGAGAGGAAAGGATTCAGTAGTTAATTAGACAAGTATCTGATAAACCAACCAGGCTAGAAGAGACTTGCTATAATGAAGTCTACTCTTCTTGTTCTGTGAACCTTCTGTTATTCTACACACTATTCAACAAGACTGCATGCCAAAGATGTGGAGTTCATTCATTGCCTTTTTTCCTTCATTGTTGATGGCACCAAAAAAAGTGAAACTAGGCCATTTTTTCTGGTTAATCATAAATATATCAGGTGTTTAATTGCATGGGACTACACCTTTTTAAGAGCTTTAAATGAAAGAAGATTTTCTCTAGCTCAGAGGTACTCAGTTTACTTCACCGTGATTCATACAGCTAATAATAAATAAAGTCTAAAAGGGCTCACACAGAAAGGGGGAAGTCTCATCCTTCTCTATTAATTTTTCAATTTCAGCAGGGGTTGCCTCATGTCTGAAATTGCAATCTCTCTCTTCTCAGAATACACCTGAGCTGAGATTTGGGCATTCAGGTTTCAAGCAAACACACGCATGCACACACACAATTGGAAACAAAGAGTACACAGTGACTGAGATGAGCTGCTTACATATTGAGGGGGAGCTGGACCTTCGGTGGTGTTCCCTGATCTCCAATTATTGCACTTGTCCTGGGACCAGCCACTGTGGCTGTTCCAATCAAAGAAGAATCCTGAAAATACACAAAGAAGAACACATAGGGATTTAAGATGAAGCCCATCACTTCCTAAATTGCTATGGGGTGAAGGCATAGGAGAATAAACCATATATTTTATTAATTCCTAGATTTTCTAACTTTATGACACTGCATTCAAAAAGGCATATTCTAGCTTTACACATTCCAAAAATACATTTCTGACACAAAGGATTTCCATGTACCTGTCAGAGACATTTTAGTTGTATGTTGTATGCACATCTTAAAAGTTTTACAATGTAAAACTACTTAACTGCTTTGTAAAGTCAGCTCAGCAAGTGCATCTCTGCAATAGTACCTTCTCTGATACAAGTACCCTTTTCCCATCAAAAACTTCTTTGTAATTGGTACTCTTTTGGTTAATGCTTATGGATCTCTGGAGAAGAAGGTGCTATTCAATTTCCAGAATGTAGTCTCATTTCTATATACTCTTTTTATCATCAGGAATATTCTTATATTCTTCTTCAAAAAAAGGTGACTACGCAACCCAAAACTTCCTCTGAATGGAGAAAGTAGTTCATTCCATTTTTACTCTGGAAAATAAATCTCCACTCTCATATAGACAGCTGGACAGATCTTCTCCAGCTATTAATGTGAAAGGCAATTTTAAATGTAATCATTTATTTGCTCAGTCTAATGTTCAGCCAAATTATGTAGGGCAATCTCTTTTTGAGTTGTCTCACCAAAGTCCTCATTCATCTATGTCAAAAATGAATCCTGACTGGAAACATCTCCTGAATTAATGCCAAGGCCTGTAGCAACAGATCTTCATTGCAGACAGGACAGAGCTGGGCTGATGGGACTTGTAGAGGTTTACTTGAGGAAAAAGTTTTTTTAGTAAGTCTAACCATATGCATGTCCATATGCAGAATGGCTCTACAAAGTAGGAACCAATACCCACAAATTGCAGGTTCAGACAGAGTGTGTTATACACAGCAAAGATTCTGAGCAGCTCACAGGCCTCCACTAAAGCTTTTCTGTTTCAAAATTCTAACAAACAGTACATATTGATTTCTGGAACACAAACATAGGGACAATTTTTGCATTTAAAAATGACACTGAATTAAACCAAGACACAGAGTTTGAACCAAGACACATATTGCTACTTAATTACTGGATTTCAAGGTTCCCTAATTCCGAAGAAGCCATATAATTATTAGTGTTCTGTCTTGACAGTGCATTACTGAGCTATATTGCTTTGCTGTGTATGTACACAGTATCATTAGGAAATCGTGCAACAAAACATGGGAACACTGCACTGTGATTCCATAGCTTTTGGCAAAACGCAGCAAGATGTCCCATCTCTCACCAACATCTACACTCAATCATGAAATTGTATTGACAAGTACATCTCCTTTTTCTCATTATTTCCTCTAATTTTCTGGCTGCTTGCTCAAACAAAGAAGGATCCAGGCAGCTCTTGGTCCTATGTGTAAAAAGCATTCTTTCCAGCTCTGTGACTAAGGCTTTATTAATACTGCCTGTCATGTCAGTGAGCTAGTATCAACTTACAGAAAAAACACACCAGCCCACTAAGAAATCTAGGGATAGCTGGAGAATGATTCCTCATTTGTTATATTGAGCTGGTTAATGGGGTTAGGGATTGCAGAAGATGTTGGGCTGAGACACCTGGCAGCTGCCTTATCCAAGAGTTAAGTGAGAAATCAACTAGTTCAAACTTCTTCATGTTGTTTTACCACTGTATGCGTGCTCTGGACAAGAGAAACTGTCTCTAAGAAAACAGAAAATGCATCAGTCCCCACCCTTGCTAGGAAATAAAATTTAGATTTTACCTTGTGAAAAAAAGAGACCTGAATGAACAGCCTCAGGGTACAACTGTAAAGGCAGAGAAGATCACAGCAGGAAAGGACAGAATAGGATAGAATAGAGTAAAATAGAATATTTATATTGGAAGTGACCTGCAACAAGTCTAACTGCCTGACCACTTCAAGGTTAACCAATTAAGGACATTGTCCAAATGCTTATTAAACACTGACAGGTTTGGGGCATCAACCACTTCTCTAGGAAGCCTGTTACAGAGTTTGACCACTCTCTCAGTAAAGAAATGCCTCCTAATGTCCAGTCTGAATGTCCTGTGGGGCATTCCCACAGGACCACTCCCATGCATCCTGTCAGTGGACACCTGGGAGAAGAATTCAGCGCCTCCATCTCTGTTTCCCCTCCTCAGGAAGCTGTAGAGAACAATGAGGTCACCCCTCAGCCTCCTTCTCTCTAAACTAGACAAGCACAATGTCCTCAGCTGCTGCTCTTGGGACATTTCTTGCAGTCCTTTCACAAGATTTGTTGTCCTCTTCTGGATGCCTTCAAGGACCTTCACATCTTCCTTCTGTGGTGGGGCCCAGAACTGCCCAGAACAGTGCTTCAGGGGAGGCCTGAGGCCATTCAACACTGAATACAGCAAGATAATTTTGAGTGACTGGTGATGCTCTGTTTGATGTACCCCAGGACGGGGTTTGCCCTCTGGTGTCTCACACTGAGCCTGCTGTCCACCAGCACCCCCAGATCCCTTTCTGCAGGGCTGCCCTACTAATCCATACTTGTGCCTAGCATTACCCCATCCTAGGGGGATCAGAATCCAGCATTTTGAATTGTTAAGTAATTTCTTCCCATTAATCATTGCCTAATTCTCCAGTGTATCTGCATCCCTCTGCAAGGCATCTTGTCCCTCAAGAGAGTCAAAAGCACCTCCCATTTTGGTATCATCAGCAAACTTGCTAGTAGTGCATTCAACTCCTGCATCCTGATCATTGATATATATGTATATGTGTGTATATATATACAGAGAGCGAGAGAGAGGGAGAGAGAGAACAGAACTGGCCCTAAAACTGAACCCCAAAGAACACCCTGGTGACCTGTCAACAGCCAGCTGTAGCCTCATTCACTGCAATCCTTTGAGATCTGGCCTTTGGCCAGTTCTTCACCCAGCTCATCACAAGTCCACTCATTCCATGGCTGAGCAACCTGTCCAGAAAGATGCTGAGGAATAGTATCAAAAGCCTACTGAAATCCTGAAAAAACTTTTCCACTGCTTTCCCTTCATCCACTAGGCAGGTGACCCTGTTATAGAAGAATATCAAAACAGTTAAATGGGACTTCCCTTTTGGGAAACCATATTGGCTGTTCCTTATGAATGTATCATTCTTGAAATGCCTTTCAGTAGTACCCAGTATAATCATCTCCATAATTTTTCCAGCAACTGAGCCTAATTTAACAGGTCTGTAGTTCCCTGGTCTTCCCTCATGCCTTTGTTTTGTAGATAGAGTAACATCATCAAACTTCCAGTCAGCAGGACCTCCCTAAACCTCCAAGATCTTTGACAGGTGGTTGAGAAGGGTCCTGCCATAACATTCACTGGCTCCTTCAGAACACTTGGATGAATCCCATGAAGCCCCATGGACTTGTGAATATGCAGCTGATACAGCTGGTCCCTTACAATTCCAGTGTCCACAAATAAAAAGTCACTATTCCTACATTTGTGGTCCTCCAACTCAGGGGACTGGGAAGCTGAAGGTCTACTAAAGGCTGACAAAAAGTGCATAGAACACATCTGCTTTTTCTTCATTCCTGTTAGTCAGATTGACCAAGTATTATCGAGTATTCACCACCTTCACCAAATATCAGCTTTTTTTTTCTTTAGAAATCATCTGAAAAAAGAGCCCTTCTTGTTATTTGAAACAACACTGGGTAGTTTCAACTCTAATTGAGCTTTGGCCTTTCATGTCTTCTCCCTGCGTAAATGAACCACAGCTCAGTAGTCAGGTTCCTGAGAAGCCTAACCTTGCTTCCAGAGGTCGTATAGTTTCATTTTCCTCCTGACCTACACAACGTGTTCCCTGTTCAGACAAGCTGGTCTTCTGCTCTGCTTGCTGGACTCACAGCATGGTGAAGTTCTCTGCTCCTGTGCTTCTGAAAGGTGAATCTTAAAGCATGACCAGCATATGTGGACTCTGAAGTCCTTAAAAGCAGATTCCCAGGCACTCTGCTAAGTAACACCCTGAATAGCATAAAGTTTGCTCTCATTAAGTCCAGGCAAGCAACTCTGCCATCCTTTTTTTGTCTTTACAGTGAAAATCCTAAACTCAGTCATTTCATGAACACTGGAGCCAAGACAGCCACCTACTGTCACATCCCTCGTGAGTCCCTCTCTGTTCACAAACAGCAACCCCAGGAAGGCATCTTTCCTAGCTGACTCACTAAGTATGAATGACAAGCAGTTCTCTCCTATAAGCCTCAAGAATTTCCAAGACTTGTCACAGAAGTATGATATTTCCTGTTGATGTCTGGGAAGTTGAAATCTCCCATATGGGCAGGCTACTGATCCAGAGTTCTCTTAATTGCCCATAGAATAACTCACTGGTGCTTTACATCCCAATTGGGCAATCAGTAGTAAACACCCTCACATTACCTGCCTTGTTTTCCTTCTCCCCAGTCTTCACCCAGAGGCACTTCACCACATCATCACCAACTCTAAGGGCTGTGCAATCGAACCTCTCCCTTACTTACTTACAGTGCCACACCTCACCTGTCCTGCTCTACTCCTGAAGCCTGTAGTCCTTGGTGCCAGCACTCCAATCACAGGACTCATTCCACTAGTAGCAATGACATCCAGCTCTGGGAGCTGACCAATACTTCATCTTTCTTGTAAGACACATGCTAACCCTTCTTTAGCTCCTATGATCCTCCCTCTGCACAATGAGCAAAGTCAGTTTGCAGAGGTGCAGCTACCCCAGCCTAGAGTGGCCACTGCAGACACCTTGGGCTGAGCCTGACTGACTCTGCAGAGTGGAGTTCAAGCCAAAAGAGCAGAGCATCAAAAGCACCATCTATTTGCCTGTTTGCACTGACAATGGGGCCTTCTGTGTCTTCTATATTACAGAAAGCATGATCTCAAGTGCTTTCTATTATGCTTGTACTAGAATATAGTCCAAGGGATTACGAAATCATGTAACTGCCATTCA